GATTTCGTTTTGATTCTGTCTGGTTTGGGCCCCATGTGATAAGGTCCATAGAGTCCCCTTCAGGAACTCAAGACCAAGGGAAACTGTAAAAAACCAAGGGGAACTGTAAAATCTTTTCAACCCCAGCTCCACCTCTCACCCTAAAAATATATTTTATCCCACATTTTTCTCATCAACAAGATTATTTTTTTAAGAATAGTGGAAAGATTTGATTTGAAAATTGAGGTGGGAGAAGATAAAGGGCAGTTTCAAATCGCAATTTAAAAAATTGATAAGGAGCTGCTGCAGGGAATGACTAAACTATGGAGTGGATATCTTTGGGAGTGAGGGAAAACGGTATCTCTTTTTAATCCTGGTTTTGAAAACAGATGCTTAGTGGGGCTTGCTAGCAAACTGTGAAGAGTGGGCACTATATGGCCACTTTTAAAGCATTTATATGGTTTTAATGAATATGCTACTGTACACTATATTAGTTATATTTTATATTCTCATAACTCACTTCAGGAATCCTTTTGGTTACATGAAGAAATATATAGATTTAATAAGCTGAACTAAACTTTTCCAAAAAGTGATCTTCAGGAAATTTGGGCTTAAGAGGAAAATAAATGTGAGAAAGTTGTGACAACAATCTCAGCCATTTGTGGTTGATATTTTGGGAAGATCCATGGTTCAGTTGTAAAGCACATGCTTTTTATGCACAAAGCAAGCTCTGCTCCCTAACAGAATCTGAACCATTTTGCTTTTCTCTGGGCAGAGAAGGATACTGACCTCCTTGCCACACTCTTTCCCAGGAAAGGCATTTGGCTGCTGTGTGCCATGCTGATCAAAGTAACAATCAATAGGCTGCTGGCTGTGTGAAATGCTAGCTTGGCTTATTGAGTTCCTTTGGTAAAGAGTGCTTGGTGGGTCCTTGGAAATGGAACTCCTCCAGGTGCTGATCAAGTCCTAAACTGATTTTGCTCTTCCCTGCTCAAGAAATGAGAGAGATGAGCAGACCATACTCAGCCACAACCTTGGGATTGCCCCTCAAGTTTGTAGTTGACCTGATTTAACTTTCCTATAACTTTCTCCCATAAGGGAGGGACTCTCTTCTTTTCCTCTGTTGTGGGGGAGTGTTATGAGAAGGGCCTCATTTGTGAGGTGAGACATCAGATGGATGTGCCAGTCTAATGAACCAAATTTGGCCCTCAGACCAGAAGTTTCTCTCCTTGGTGTAGATAATGACCAAAAAGGTGTCCTGACTTAGGAAAAATCAGGTTTCTGTGTCCCTGTGATACTTCTAGTTGTGTGTCCATTATGTAAGTATAGATTCAAGTCCATTTCTTTCCCTTGGTTTTGCTTGTTTGTTCCCACTACCAGTATTTTGGCAGATAGAGAAGAGAATCGAGGCTGGTTGACCCTCCCTACTCTAATAAAGTGGAGTATGTTTCTATCATTTTGGCTTAGTTGCAGTCCTTCACATGGTATGTTAGTGTATTGTGGCTTCTAGTCTGGGAAGCAAAAAATCAAGCCACAGATTGTTTAACAGCTGCTGCCTGTTATAAGGATATGAAGAGATTTCATTAATTGTCTTTGTATTAACTTTTTGTGAGTTTTTAAAAATCATGTTTATATGTTGCATTGGTTCTCTGCTTTTCATTTTCTCATTTTAATTGTTGATATTTAATAAATCTTAAGTTGCCCTAATATTTGATGAAATGAGTGAGTTTATGGCAGAACAGAACATTAATTAAAATGAAGCACTTAAGTGTGCTTCATTCAGCTTAGAGTGCAACACCAGGGATATAATTTTTAAAAGAATTGTGCAGGTATACCTCAACAAAGCAAATGTGGGCATTACTACTTTAACAGAAAATTGTGTACCAGAGGCAGAAATAACATGGAAAGAATAGGAATCGGTAAAATGAAAACAACATGGAAAGAACAGGGATAGCCAGAGGCTTTGTTAACTGAGGTGTGCCTGCATGTCATTCTTCTTAATACATTGTAGAATTTATTTTATTCAGTGTCAGTAATAGTTTTCCCTGCTTCCTTCTGTTAAAAAGGTAAAGGCAAAGGCTCACCTTTAATTCAGTTTTACTTTCCTTCAACAGGAAAATGAAGTGGGTTGGACAACGAGTAGAGTGCACCTGATGGAAAACTCAACTCTTATCTGACAGAACTCGTCATAGCCAATTTCTTTATTGCTATCGAGAGGCAATACAGGCAGCGAAGAAGCCTTTCTCCTCTGCCCGTATTGCGTCTGTGGAATTTCATCCGGCAGAACTGTTTAGGGTGGTAAGGGAACTGTCACAGGCTCTGCCTGTGCAGAATCCTTTACTTAACCCAACAACAGCC